CTCTTCTAAAGCCGAGTTCATGAGCCGGATGAAGTGCTCGTCTGTGCTATTGTTAAGATTGATCTTGGTGTTGCCGTTGTGCCCAGAGACCAGCTTGGACACAATGGTACTACGCAAACCCATGCTGGCAAAGGTATTGTGATGTATGCTGGGTGTTGTGTGAGAGTATTCGACAGAGGTAAATGACACAAAGGTATAGTGATACTGTACGATAAGAATGTTTGATTTGAAGTGAAGAAGGTCTACGGTCTGCAAAACGAAACTTTTCTCTCCACGAGGATTCTTCTCGAACATATAGTCTAAATCACGATTGGAAGGCATCGAAATATGTTGATGATCAAAGAAAGGCACGACATTGTGTTTTCAGCCGTGCCATTCGTCTTTCACCTAGGTCAAAGATGCCACCACAAATTTGGCATTTGTGTACAATGGACAGCCAAATACGTTGACATGACTACAAAGACCGTGTCTTCAACGGTTTGTCATTCCAGTTTTGCGCTCTTGAGACGCGAGTCCGTTGTTGAATGACTTTGTTGCTCTGGTCCTACCAGACGAAGACAAGCAATTGTTTCGCTGATTGCACTGCCTACTTTGAGCAACTCACACCTTTCCCACATGTCTCACTTGATGATGTAACTCGAATTTGCAGAGAGAGGCTGAGTTAGCGAGCAAGATATTGCCAAGCGAGGAAATAGCAGTGCGCTCTGTAGGAAGATTTCGCAACTTCCCTCACACAGGTCGTCACATCATAGAAGATGAGACGTTGACACCAAGTGAGTACGGCAGTGAGATGCGTAATCTCGAAATATTGGGTCACAGATCCGGGTGACTAGCCCAGAAGCGAGTGTGCCAAGACCGGGTTGATAGTGGCACAGCTTGTCTTCTCAAACACAGCATGCGGCAGCCCTGCAGTAGACGGAATTCGGTCTTGTCAAACGGGGAAACGCGGCTTCTCGACGACAACGACGATGAGCGGGCCCGAGCTCCTGACATTACCATGTGTTGTCCACCTTTGTAGGGCGTGACACATGACACCGTGCTGGCGCTCCTTGAAGGAGATTCGCGTTGGGTTGGGTATGAGGCTCTACTGCAGTGGATAACACCTGACAGGTGACAGACAGAACAGTGCCAGTGAGCTGCTCACATGGACGTGCGGGGTGTACCTCTCGCGGCCACAGATGGCATGGAGCGATCATGAAGGGAAAGAAAACGCTAAGGATGGGTTACTGTGCTCTGGACTGCATGTCTGGGATTCCTCCCGCAATAGGCGCCGAGTAGAAACAGGCACGTCCAATAAGGGGCGGTGCCTGGACAAGCCGCAAGCACCTCGACTTAGCCCTGTGACTGACAGCGCTGGCCAACGAGATGATGCTTATCAGATGAATTATGGGCAGCTTGGAGGCGGGTCGAGAAAAGGAAGAAACAAGCGCGACCGAATGCCACTTAAGTTCTCGGCCAGGTGAGTACGGCAGCAGGGGCAGATATTGCGTGTCTTTGAGAGATGGCTAAAAAAATCACTGCCCAACATTGGGTGGCCATGGAACTCTCGAGACCCTTGAAAAAATTCAAGATCAGAGCTCGACAGACTTTTCTTCTCTCACCGGGCCCAGCGGACGGGTAAGATGCGGTCAAGATGCAAGGAAAATGTCTGTTGTAGGTGTTCTCGACTCGTGCGGGATGGGTCAAGCAGACAAGGGGAGAGCCTGCAGACGTTGGTTGATCTCTTTACCATGGGGGAAGACTGCATCCAATTAGAAAAGAATCAGAAACCGGAGCTTAGACTGCGACATATCCACAAGCTGGGCGATGCCGCCATGTATGTTCCGCAACCGATGAGTGACAAAGAGTTGTGTTTTTAGTTAAAGAAAGCTCAGGACGGGCTGAACCCGACAGTCGGGTAGGTATGGTGATGGTGCCACTTGTGCTCAGGACGTTGGGTACGACTCGACCAAACTGAAAACGCCCAACTAACTGGTTGCATCGAGTGCCGAGTGTCGAGTGTCGAGTCGGATCAGGTCTGTACGACATCGGGGGCGTTGGTCGCTTTGCCCCGTTGCAGCTTGCGTTGCGTGCCCTAGGCCCTGGCTATGTTGCGCAGTACCTTGACTAGCCAGGGAATAAGTCTCCCACGGGGTGTCGGTGGACTTGGCCATTGGGCCATCGGTACGGAGTAGAGAACTAGAACATGTCGTAGATGGATTGCTCGATGAAAGACGGCCGGGTCAGCAACGTCCAGGGGATATCGGGTTTCTGTTCTTGCTAAGAGATGAGGTCAGCTTTCGGGTCTTGACAGATTGTATGCGTTTGTTCGACTCCGTTCAGACCTGACTGGAGGCACTTGAGATAAAGTAAAGAGTCCCCACTGACTTTCCCGGTGGCTAGTGACGATATGATGGCATGCGTCAACGAGAGAGCAAGGTATGATTGGTTCTGCCGGGACCTCTCAGTAAGGCAAGCCGGTGTGGTGGACTTGGGTCGTGAGGTCTTGGGGGATCCTTCAGATGGAAATTCTCACAGGGTATGGGGTATCGCACGCCAATTCTTGGCCATGAAGGTGAGGAAAAGTGTCTTAGCTGATGGCAGACGGCAGGGGTTACGAGTGAAGGGGGGGGGGGGGGGGAGACTGCGATCTGAGCTTCTTATCGATAAAGGTAGATTGGACAGTCCTTATCTTATCTCAGAGGCACCTCCCAGTTCATTTTCATGGAATGGAAATGCTTGAATGCACCCAGAACGGGTTTGGAAGACGAGCCCAGTCAGTTGTGGAATGTCTCGATGCCAGCCAGGCACATGAATAAGGCTGCAATGTTTATGAGTCGATATGACTGCATGCGATAAAAGCTTCATTACTGGCTATTTGACGGATAGTGTTTGTTGGCGATTTGATTCACTCGTAACTAGGTGGTACCTTGGTTTGTAAGGTCTTGCTTGATACAGAGGCGATGTTTCCGTACCTTACATAATGTGTACTTCGTACATATAGGTGGTCAAAGGAACCCTTGGAAGGATGGAGAGCAATATCATGATGGTCTACAGGCTGAGATGGCATCTTCATCTCATGTCGCTCAGACAAACCAGAGGCTCGGTAATCATCAAAGTGAGGTCTTGTCTCTTTGGGTTTCTGGAGACTCATTAACATGACTGAGATGATTTGACTGTTCTTCATCGATTGTTCTCTCTCAGTCGCTTTCCCCTCCCTCACCCCGGTTCCGAACTCCATGTTCCACCCCCACCATCTGCCGTCACCAATTGCGGTCGGCGACTCGGTCGCATCAGCTGCTTGTCGCATTCAAGTTCTCTCCCGCCGTGTTGCGCCCAACAACCCCATCAATGACGTCCTCAGCTCCTTGTAGTGCGGATTCGGGCCAAGGTACCTTGCTTCACCTCACCTTTGCGCTGTTCGACGTGTATGTACACACACAGAGAGAGAGAGAGGGCCCTGATTGATTCAATCAATTCCTTACCTTCATTGCCGCAACTCTCGACTTTCGACTCGAACTGAGACGCCACTTCTCTGATTGCCCTGTTCCATTCCCCGCCATCCGTCCATCCATCCATCCCATTGCCTTGTGCATCCCATCAACCCCCATCCCATCCCATCCCATCCTGCCCCCCTCTGCATCCGCATCACCTCGCTCGACCTCGCCGTGTCTTGCACCTTCTTCCCGGTTCTTACCTACCTTAGCAGCCACCTTCCTGCGTTGGCTCACCCTTAGCAATACCTTGCCTCCTCCAATCAGAGCTTCGTGCCTTGCCTTGCAGATACCTCACCATCACCCCAATCCCGCCAACCTCCTCTACCTCTATCTAACACGACAGATACCTAATTACCACCCTTTACATGAACGCCAGCCGCCAGCGTCACCCCGACTACCGAACCTCGTCATCTTCCGGTCGCTCCCCATATCATCCAAGCTCAGACCACGCCTACCCGTACCTAAAGACTTCGTATCGCGATCGGTCTTGCTCGACTCATCCCCAGCTGTCCGTTTTCTCTCGACACTGCACGCTGTCCACATACACTACAGGGAATAATCCAAAGTCGCACTCCATATTTCTACCAATCACTCGCGCTCCTGCTTCACCCGCTCGCGCCTTCCGTCTTGGCCACCTAGGCGCAACAACATCACCGCCCTCCGGATTTCATTCAGCTCGATTCACCAACACAACCACGAACAATAACAGCAGCGAGACTACCTTGGCTTTCCTCACGAGGACGCAATCGCCTGATCACGTCGCAACCACGAGCCACAAGCCATAACCAAACACTTCACTTGGCTCTCGAGAACACCACAATCACGACAACCGTCGACGTTAGGATATCGCGCAAGTCTAAGGGGTCCCCAAACACAAACGACCCTGTCGCATCCCATCTCAACACAGCGCAACACATCTGATGAATCGCTGTCGCAGACCCGCGTGCTGCTAGTAACTGGACGCACCTTAGATCCAGTTACACACTTTCTCTTTGCTCCTCCGTGGAGCCTGTCGCCACGCTCTCGGTCGCCATCGCACATCGACGCTGCCGCTGCGCCCCTCTCGCAAAATCCCGCTCGTCATTTTTGGTCTTCACTCCCCCGCCTCGACCTCTCCGGCTCGTGTCTCTTGACCTTCTCTCTCACCCCACCAAACTACTGCCAACGACCGGCAGCCCGACTTGTTCGACTGTCATCTTCTCGCGGGGACTACCTGCATCGACTGTCAAGTTGTCTAATATCATACCAATCGAGGCGCGAGGCTAGCCATCACAGACGGGAATAGCGGATTGACACTGCGCACAGCTGCTTCAAGTCGCTGCGCTGCAATCGGACACCCGAGTTTAGTCTGCTCACCACAGGACGAAGCATCACCAATCCAAGGCCGTCACAGCGGCGCGCACCGCCGCCCTCGAACTGCCAGTCTGGACCCTCGAGCTCGACTTATCCCCCCAACTTGTCCCCCACACTACCCGACCCGGACGACACCTCGCATTCCAGCTTGCACATTCCACACAGCCCATCATGAACGGCACTCAACAGACCCAAGACGCTGTCGCACAAGAGCCATTGCAGCCAGCAGCCGCCAATGCTAATGCTGCTGCGAACGCCAATGGTTCGTCGACGGCGGCTAAGAAGCGCAAGAAGGAGAGTCTGAAGCCTATTATTACCACCGAGACACCACCGTAAGTTTGACCAAGAAAATTTTCCTTTTCTTTTCTTGTCTTTTGCTTTGCTCTGCCCTGCACTCTTCATGCCGCATTGTTGTTTTATTTCCGTTACCGTTGATGGCGGGGAAGTTGCAAATTGCTGGTTTTCATTACCTCAATTTTGTTGCCATTTAGCGCCCCAAGCTTCGTTTACACAGGACATTATCACCCTTTCAACATCCTCCACCATCCACACTGTTACCCCTCTATCCTGTCTTAAAAGCGCCGCGCCCGGTGCCGCACGTTCTTCCCTGCGCTCCATCCATATGGCGGGGCGAAGTACGGGGGGCCAAGCAACACAGACCAGGCAAGTTTGAGCCTGTCAAGTCCGACAGGCCCTGTCCAAGTCCAATTCAGTCCAGTCCAGTCCGGTTCAGTTCAGTCCATATCCAGTTCAGTTCGGCCCAGTCCGATTTGGCACACGGCACAGCGAAAGCAGAGGGCAGTGTCCAGTCAATGTGCCCAGCACCGCGCCGCGCAGTTTGTCTCACACCCGGGCATCTGGACATATGCAGAGCAACGGACCGCCTTCGAAAGATGCTGCGACAGCACTGTCAAAGACGTGGAAGAAGAGCACGATGAGACGACAGACAACGAATAGATGCTCAGGGGGTCCATCCAGTGGGACCAACGCTGATACCCGACGACATGGTGGCTCTGGATTGGATGTTACCGTTGCCGTTGCACAGGGAAGCCATTGGCCGAACCCAAGATGGACGTTTGTTTGGCGCGCTGAACGTCAGCCAGAAAGAATGGACGGCTCCTCCACACCGCAGATATTACGGGTCGCCAGCTGTCGCCACCACCGCCCGGTAGCTCAGCAGCAGCAGCGTCAGCAGCAGCATCACCACAACCCTAGAAGCGTAGCAAGCACTTGGAAGTTGGCGGTGCATGTTGTTGATATGCCTCGTACTGCGCTCCGCCTGTGCGACGGCAGATACCGGAACGTTTTGGAGGAGAGATGGCCAAGACTGCGCTCCATGCTGCGCAAAGCATCATACTTAGTGGTGGTGGTGGCATGTTGGCATACTAGGTGCGCCGACCGGCGCGGGAACGTTTCTGGCGCCACCACTTTGACGAGCGAGACATGACCGTCACCGTCATCGGTCATCTTCAACAGGACTAACTGGACTCAACTGAACTGGACTGGTTTGGCCTGCTTTGCATTTGACAGACGCACTTGACTGTGAATATTCACTGTTGGAGACTAGAGGTCGGCATACCAAGCTGGTATCATCCTCACATGGTGGTCTGAGAGAGGTATCACGAATCCTCAACTCGCTCACCCAACACCCCAACTACCAAGTTGTGGCTTGGGGGTAGGTGCAGGCGCGGTAAAGGTATCCCAGTGCCATGCTTGCTTGCTTGTTGGTGGCACTGGCAGGTTGTTGTTGCTGCTGCTGCTGACGCGACTACGAATACAACCTGAACCCGACGGGAGGACGATCTGCTCTGGCTTTGAGGTGGGCAGTCCCCGCTGACCCTCACCGTCCACCCTGACCCTGAGGTGACGCTACCCGACCCTGGCCCAAGTGGCCCAGGCCTGGGATTCTTATTGCGTCGCCAGACCACCTTCTGACCCCCCGTTCCTGGCCTGCTGTTCCCGCCCGTTCTCCTCACTCACATCACTGACCCCTCCTCTCCTCTCATTACCTGCTTTTTTCTTGCTACCTTACCGACTGGGGGTGCCCTTTCTGTGCCTTATCCGTCCAGAGTGTCCCGCTTCCAGTGCCTTTTAGTTGGGGATACCGGAGACAGAGAGAGAGTGTTGTGTGTGTGTGAGAAAGAGAGAGGAACACAGAACACACAAGAAACGAGCAGCAGCACAAACGGCACGCACGCATTGTATCTTTCCTACGTACCTGCCTTACGGATACCTGCCTCTTTAAAAAAAAAAAACCTTCTTTGCTCACTACCTACCTACCTTATCGGCCTTAACCACGCTGGCCTGCTGTTCTTATTTTTTATTTGCCTTTTTTCTTGCTGGCTGAACACATCCCGCGCCTCACCCGCCGCCTCGCCTCGCCTCGACCGCTTTCCACCTACCATCCTTTCCCTCCCATCCATCTTCCCTTTTCAACCTTTTCTTTATCCACCCTAGTCGGCCTTCGACTGGACTTGCCGCTGTCACTTCATTCTACCTTTTCACTTTCCCATGTTGTGAACGGCACCAGTTTCGCACTGGATCTTGTCCTGGCTATTATTTCTGCCAAATTTCCCTTTTTTCCGCTTGTTGTTTCGATCTTTCCCATCGCTCGGTCCTCGGCTTGTTCGATCCTCTTTTTCGATCCATTCCTTTCTTTGCTATAGGACTGTTCGCGCCGGATGCGCAATGTTGCAAACATGAGCTTCCTAAAGACAAGGTTTCTGCTCTTCCTTCTCCTCCCGTTGTCGCATTCCGTGGCCCGTCTGGCGGCTGCGAAATCTTTGCCCACCGACCTGCTATTCTCCACCCCCGCCATTTCAATCACAGACACGACGCCGCTTGTTGCCAATTTGCGCGCCATGACCTGAACCACTGCTACACAGACTGGCACTTGCGACATTGAAGCTAACTCCTTTTCCTCTGATAGAACCCATCAATTGTCCGCTGCCATGCAGAACTCGCCGACTTCGACATCATCAGGCGAAGACCCCGCCGAGAACACAGCCGATGAGGAGGATTCCGAGGATTACTGCAAGGGCGGCTACCACCCCGTCCAGATTGGTGAAAAGTTCAAGGACGGAAAGTACACCATCGTGCGCAAGCTTGGATGGGGCCATTTCTCCACCGTCTGGCTTTCTAGAGACAACAACTCTGGCAAGCATGTCGCCTTGAAGGTTGTTCGCTCTGCCGCGCACTACACCGAGACCGCCATCGACGAAATCAAGCTCCTCAACAAGATTGTCCAGGCCAAGCCAGACCACCCCGGCCGCAAGCATGTGGTCAGCTTGCTCGACTCCTTTGAACACAAAGGTCCCAACGGCACACACGTCTGCATGGTGTTCGAAGTTTTGGGCGAGAACCTCTTGGGTCTCATTAAGAAATGGAATCACCGAGGTATCCCTACGGCTTTGGTCAAGCAAATCACGAAGCAAGTGCTGCTCGGCCTCGACTACCTACATCGCGAATGTGGCATTATCCACACCGATTTGAAGCCCGAGAACGTCCTCATCGAAATTGGTGACGTTGAACAGATTGTCAAGAAGGTCGTTAAGAGCGAACCTGGCGACAAAGAGAACAACAGAAACGGTCGCAGGAGGAGACGCACTCTCATCACAGGCAGCCAGCCGCTACCATCTCCTCTGAATGCTAGCTTCAACCACAACAACCTCTTCCCTAGCACCAACTCCAGCCTCAGCCAAGTGCTACACGAAGGTACGCGCCCCCTCTCAACACCGCCACTTCGTTCAAAACGGGCCTATCGCCCCACGGATTCTTCTACCCCCGTCACGTTCTGCTTAGCGACCGCATGCTGACTCTTGCTGCGATTTTAGATGGCAAGACATCTAGCAACGCTTCCCCCAAGCGCGACGCTGACCAAAAGACGCGCGAAAAGACAGCGTGAGCATTACCCCACCTGGCCAAATAGTAGAAGAGGTTCATCTGATACTGACCGCTCTTTCTCACCACAGTGATCTCCTCACAAAGGAAGTTTCCGGCATTTCACTCGACAAGACCAACTCATCATCTTCAGGGGATAAGCGCAAGGCGGATGATGCGCATGCATTCGATGTTATCAGCGTCAAGATTGCGGATTTGGGCAACGCCTGTTGGGTCAACCACCACTTTACCAATGATATCCAGACCCGGCAGTATCGGTCACCTGAGGTCATTCTGGGCGCGAAATGGGGCGCCAGTACCGATGTTTGGAGTATGGCAGCAATGGTAAGCATGACCTACTCAGTGCTATACCCATCTGGGTCGTAGCAGGTACTTTTGATCTTTTCCATCTAACGAAGAACTCTCAGGTTTTCGAACTCATCACAGGAGATTACCTCTTTGACCCTCAATCAGGAACCAAGTATGGAAAGGACGACGACCACATTGCTCAGATTATCGAGCTTTTGGGACCCTTCCCCAAGTCACTTTGCCTGTCTGGCAAGTGGTCCCAAGAGATTTTCAACCGAAAAGGCGAACTGCGAAATATTCACCGCTTGCGCCACTGGGCTCTGACAGACGTCCTCCGTGAGAAATATCATTTCAAAGAGGAGGAGGGAAAGCGCATTGCCGATTTCCTCACGCCCATGCTTGAGCTGGTACCTGAGAAGCGTGCCAATGCTGGAGGTATGGCTGGGCATGTGTGGCTCGACGACACGCCGGGAATGAAGGGTGTGCGAATCAATGGGCTCGAGGTTGGCAGCCGAGGCGAGGGCATCGATGGCTGGGCGACTGAGGTGCGGAAACGGTAGGGAGAGTCAGAAACGATGACCGCTTTGAATGCAGGGGTGCCACCAAAGATATTAACGTAATTTATTTGAACGGTCACGGGCTCCCAGTCCCCCTGCATTGCATCATCAGCATTTCTGCATCTTTGTCGCCAGCGTTGTTGTACCCTGACTTTGGCTTGATGTTCGCAACCTTTTTATAGCACAATGCGCGAGGTTCCGCTCCTTGCAAGTGCCTAACACAGAAGCGCTTTGTTCGCTGCTATACACCCAAAACTTACAATTTGATGAAAGTACTGCAATTGACAGAGGGGAAGGAGAGGATGATGATCGAGGGAGGAGGTAAAGAAGGAAGGAAAGGAGAGGAAAGCAAAGGCAAATGGAAGGCAATGGGGGGATGCATATAAGGGATGGAGAAAGCCAGGCCATAAGTGGTGAAGCATAAACAGAGTTTGACAGTTTTTGTCGGACACAATGAATAGAATCTAGGAGAATAGGAAAGGATGGGACAAATGGGAAGCTCTTACCCTAGGTACAATGAACATACATGATTTGTGTGCCGCGAACCATTGTCGGGTTTCCATTTTTTTTTCCAACAAGTAATATGTGCCTCGAACGCACGCCTGTGATTTGTAAGTGCTATCTTGATGATAGATGTACTCTGACGGAGAAGGAGATGGAGAGAGACGTATGTTCAATGGAAGGAGGTGATGCGATGTTCAGAGGCAGTCGCATGGGCGTTCCTTTCCTTCACCTTGCTTCAATGCGCTGGATCCTGAGTACCTGGATGAACTTCAATGTGAGCCACGCCACACCCTTCTTGACGTGTACCTACTTTTGTGCAGGGCTTGAACAGAAATATCTGGTGATGTCACACAATGCCAGAATCGGAAAAAACTTAAGGCCTCTTCACTCGGTTCCTTGAAATGTTTGCATTCTTCTTCTCTCGATTCCTAAAAAATCTCTTGCTTGTCACAGCCCTCGTCCCCGGAACGCCAGTTTGATGCTCAAATAATACAAGTGTTGAGCTCTTCTTTTTCATCAAGCCCAGTGAAGGAAAATCATCGCCCCTCTCCCGGGAGCCCATGTTGGCTAATCTCCAGCCTATCCTGGCAGCTACCATGCCCTCTTTGTTGCCTTACCGCTTCTTGCGGTTCTGAGTCATCTTCCGGAACGCCTCTAGACCACCAGCACCGATGGGACGATGCTCGGGCGCCCGCGAGACATCGTAGGTGCTCTTGGGCGCGATGGTGTAGCTGTCGGGGAGACCGCCGGGACGGGCACGGTTCGACGTGGCGACGGGTGCGAGCATGGCCTCGCGCTCCAATTCTCTGGCGGATTGGGACGGGCGCTGCGTGAGGGTGAACTGGGAACTTCCAGCCTGGCGCTGGGACATCTTGAGAGCTCTGGAGTGACACTGTTAGCATTGTAAGTAGAAGGCGATTCATGATTATGACGTACTCATAGTCGAACTCGCGCGTCTCAACGTGGCGCTTCTTGTAGTCGTCGGTCCGCTTGAGGATCGGTCGGCTCCAATCACCCAGAAGACGCTCGGCCATGCGCTTGATGCTGGGTTCAGGTCTCTTGGATCGGGTGTAAAAGTAGACAACCTTTCCGATGCCACTGCTCAGCAAAGTCTCCTTCTCAATTGGGAGTCTGATAAGAGTAGTAAAAATATCGCGCTGGATATTGTATGCCGGAAGACTGCCGTCGTTCAAAGGTTCGAGGAAGAACTTGACGTGCTGAAGGAAGTTGGTATCGGGATCGAGGATGGCGTGCTGGATGTTGTTCCTGTTCAGGAGACCGGTCACTGATGGTAAGAGCTTCAGCTTGTGAACGGCTGGCTGGCCAGCCTCGCGCGCCGTGTTGTCAGCTTCGCAAGCCTTCTCCATGGCAACCTTGAGATCGGCAATCTCCTCGTCGATTTCGTCCTCGAGGTCCTGCATTGTCCACCGTTAGCTAGCACTCCCAAGACCGCAAATAACGCGATGGCACCCACAATCTCGTCCTTCTTCTTCTTGCGCTTGGCCGGTCCCTTCATGGCCGCGTCTAACGCCCGATCAATCGCTCTCCGGCTGCGCTCCTCGGGGCTGAGATGGGACTCGTCATCAATCTCAGGCTCGGCAGGCTTGCTGGGCCGCGGCTTCCTCTCGCCGGCATCGGCCTGGCGTCTCGACTTTCTGGCCGGGCCTCTCGAATCGATATCCATATCACCAGAGACTTCGTCATCGCGTGATCTCTTCTCTCGGCGTCCTTCCTTAGGCTTCTTCGCTTTTGCGCCATCGGCAATCTTGCGCTTCGACGCCTTGAGCGTCTTGGCCACATCTTCATCAACAGCTACTGGGCGATCCTCAATATTTGCCGTCTCTGGGTCGTAGTCCTCGAACTGATCCTCGTCGATTTCTGAGAGTAAGTCGTCGTCGGAGACGTTGGCGGCATCCTCGCGGCGCTCATCATCGCGGTCGGGCGCCGGAGACTCGGGGAGGGATTCGATATCCGACATTGTGGCTGATTCAGATGCGCGCACGCTATGGAGGAGTATTCGAAGCGCGACTCTGGGGGTTGATGAGTGAGAATTAGGTTGGATTCAATGAAATGGATAGTGTAAAAAGAGCCGCCTTGCCTCGCCGTCGTCGCCCTTCGATTTTCCGATGGCCCAAGCTCAAGTCGTAAAGGAACTGGGAAGGTGTCACCAGCCACAGGGTGCCCAAATAGTGGATCGCCATCTTTGCCCAGCTGTGGCTAGTGCACGAAAATGCTCTTGGCTCACGTCGGTACGTACTCCACCAAGTCCCAAAGAGCTAAGATCGAAGCCACCGGGAGGTTCCGTTGCCTGAGGCACGGTTTGTTTACTTTGATTTCTAGAACTGTGGTTTGTTCTTGACAGCAGCTACCTCAGAATATTTCGACCCTTGGCCGCCACCCCCGGACCGATCGCGACGAGAGCTGCTAGGCACTTCCCACCCACATCACCACTTCACTTTGTCTTCCCAGATTGTCGCATGCAAAGAAGTTCACAATGGATCGCCGAACCTACGAAAGTCCCATGGAATGGGAATATCAGGACCGAGGTCCCCTAGATGCGACCAGTCCATTTTCCCACGTTGCGAGAAGTAGCAATCAGAATAGTGAGCTCACACCCCAGTCACGATATCCCAACCATCGTCCTAGGTCATCCGCTGGCCTCTATTTCGAGAATGTTTACTGACTTTCCTGCCTTTACTCAGTCTTCAACTCGCCCAACAAATTTGCCACAAGCTCCAAGCCGAACCCATTCTCCAGCCCATCCAAGCCGAACCTCTTTGCGAACACCCCATCTAAGCCGCTTCCAGCTTTACCACATACGTCTCTCTTCTCGCCTCGAATACAAAGTAGCAACACCGCGCCGCCATTCCGAAACCCTGCCTTCACTACCCCGCGCAAACCGTTCGACGAGAGCGCCTTTTCGGAAGCTTCAGGCGCAGAGACTAGCCCCGCCTTGACGGAAAATTCGGAATTTCCAGACGACACGCCCGACGTCGATCGATTCGGCGACATGAACATGGGCACCATCACTCCGTCCAAGGTCAACAAGAACCTTCGCTACGGTAAGGCTGGCCTTCAGTCATTGAAGCGCCATGTGCCCGGTAAGGGCGAGATCCCCCGAAGTGGACGAGACTACCCCGCTATAAGGAAGCGGAAGCGACACAACATGGACAGGGACGTCGGCAGCGTCCGGTTTCACGGATCACAGGATTGGGATGAGTCGGAGGAGGACTCAGACGACAGTGGATCCCGCTCGGCAGGTGCGCGTGGTGGGAAGGGCAGCAGAAAGACGAAGAAAAACCGCAGCTGGATCAGCAATCTCTTCCACACATTGGAGGAACACCCAAATGCGCCCGAGAATCTCTACCGCTGGATTCAACTTCTGATCAACTGCGCCATTGTATCGGGCTTTGTGTTCGTCTGTTGGACCATGTTCGATTCTGTGAGGTCGGATATTCGAAACGCCAACGATGCAGCTCGATTGGACATCGAGAACAGGATCACTCAGTGCCGGACGGAATACACTCTGAATGAGTGCATCAAAAAGGACCGTCCTGCTCTGAAGGCCATGTGCGATGAGTGGGCCGAGTGTATGATTCAGGACTCATCAGCCATCATGAGAGTTAGGGTCACGGTTAAGCAAATCGCCGAAATTCTCAACGAGTTTGCTGGTGCCATGCAGATGAAGGCTTGGGTAAGCAATATCTCCTACTACTATCTTATGGCAACCCAGCTAACAGTCACAGCTCTTCTTCTTTGGCGTGGTCTTCCTCAGCATCATTGCCAACAATCTTGCTCTGGGTCGCATGGCGAATAATGCCGGCCCATCCCGTCCTACGCCATCACATCGCGCTTCGTCTGGCATGGCTCCCGAGCCATCAGTGATACCGGAACCCTCTCAGGCGTACATGTGGGTTCCCGTCCAGACGCCATCGCACCGCCGGCACCTGCAGTATGACAACGATGACACCGATACCGACGGTGCATCGCCGCCAAAGATGAAGGCGATCATGCCTCCTCAGACTCCTTCAGGGCGCCGTAGCCCAAGCAAGGGTGATCGCGATCGCCTGCGAAGCCCCACGAAATACGGACGAGCCCTGAGCCCCGTCAAGGGTTACTGAGACAGCAGAAGTAGGCTTACAATGAGGCTCTCAAGGATGTTTACTGTCCTACAGAGGAGTGAGCGCACACAGCAAAACAGGGGTACACAATGCATGGGATTGGAGTTGCAAGGTTTAATTGTATAAAGTACATATTCAGGAACAAGGTTTTGGGGGCCAGATGCGGCGTCATCTGGAGGCTCGGGACGGGGTGGGCTTCGGCTACTGCTTCCACTGGCGATCAGGATACGTTGTTTTGCAAACACACAGAGACTCGCGGGAACTTGATCCTTGCGACTCCTCACAATGCTAAAAAGTTCATTTGTCAATATCCTTCATTGTACGACCGCAAAGGCCGCATTTACTACCTACACCGAGCCCAGCTTACCGTTCGGTAAGGTACATGAGCAAGAAATCTGTATGGAGCAGCTTAGGACTTGCTCTTATCGATAATCGGGCTAGGCCCAGTTCGATATTATGACGTCAAAGAAATGGCCTTTGGCGGAGAATTCGGCCTTGTCAAAATTTGTCCCCACTTCCAACAGACAGGACCATTCGAATTGGGGATCCCTGAATCGCGGCATCGCATTCTTTTCCAGCGCTGGAGCGGAGGAAACCCGAGTTTTTGAGGCTGAACTGCTGAAGCCTCGTAAGAATTCTCAAGGCATCTGTCCGCGGCAGATCTCAACATGACCATAACTGACTGTCCGGTAGCTACCTGTTTCATATACCTCATCCTTAGAAAGAGCGCATCCAGCTCATGCGACGGAGTATATTCCGTCACCCCTGAGCTTTGCCACCCCGAAGCATCACCTACCTGTTGGACCCCCAAAAGCTGCCCTGTTTTCGGCAGAGACACTCGCTTCCGATCAAGTTGGGGAAGTCAGAATCTGTCTCGGAGAAGAGGGGTTGGGGAACAAACGCCGTGGAATGTTCGGCGACGATAGAGCGCGTGGGCGAGTGAACGAGCTAAGCGTTGGTCGCACAAGCCACGATGTCGCGAGCCTTTGCGCACGGCATAGATGGGATGCTTAGTGTGGCTTAATTCTTTCTTCCGGAAGTGTACTGTATTCCCGTCTCTTCGAAACGCCTCAGCATGGCGCATGTTCGGGCTGGGACTTGGGTCTCGTTCAACCGTTCAGCCCATATGTGCCCGGGACCCGGGATTGCCAGACAAGGAGCTCCATCTCATCTCGTCCTCACTGTTCTCTCTTTTCACGCGTGGATATATGTCTACGTAAGGCTCCGGAGCAAAACTATACAAGACCAAAGGCCTCGTTGTCTATTGGCGCGGGGGCAGCAAAAACCTAATTCTCTTCACACTTCAGACTGCTCCAGTCGGAAGAATCCATCCATCCACAACTAGCCTCGGGACGCCTAGGTAATCACGATGAGAGATATGCCAGGACACCGTCGTATCGGAGCTCCAACTTGGCAACCACCTCAGGTACCTCTGCTCTAGTGGGCAAGGGAACCCCCTGACGCAGTGAGGGTCGCCGACCAGGGTTTTTGCTAGAACGCGTTATGCTCGATGCCCCATAATCGCAGTTCAGCATCGCCAGAGTGGACTACGGCGGAGCAAAAGTTCCAGCCCGGTCTGAGATCGTGATATCGGTCTCGAGGAACCCCTTGAGGAACCCCTCGTGCTGCAGAGCCTGGAGTTGTCAAGGCTTGAGGTACCCGAAGCATCACAATCTCACTTTGAAGTAGGTCCTCACGCAATGAGATGGTGTCTGAGTTGGGGAACTCTGGCTTCCAGAAGGGTCGACTGCCGGGCTCAGAAGCAGCCAAATCAGGATGACCTACGGCTCTCCTCTGGTAGCGGCAGCAAGCTAATGTGCGTTAGCCTGTCGGCTCGCCAGTTGAGGTAAGGTACACGTAGAAAACGGAGGAGATATACGGGCACCTTATCCATAATACGGTATTGCCTTGAGGCTTGGACTGAGAACCTGCGAAAAGTACGCTTTACTGGCGCTCGGACTTGTTGACGGGCAGAGTGACGTAGTGCCGCTTATCTGAAAAGAACCATCGCAACTTGCTTGGCTTTGTGCTTCTTGAGATGAAATATTTTCGGGTCATGAAGGGTATCGGGGTCTTAATATAAAGTGACGAAGATGAGAATAAGCAAGAGAGCCACATCGTGGATGCTTACTATTCAGGGGCGGTAAGGTAAATTGGCTGCATGAAGCTCAATCCTCACCCTTACCAATCGAAGCTCCGCGTATCCTACCTTACTTGCTTACCTCAATGCGTGTGCCTTGCTTGCCTTTGTCACCGCTAGCCAGTCATTTCCAAGAGTACAGAAAGAAAGATAGGTACTTGATTCAGCTGAAAAGAAGCCAGTCTCAACTTCTTTCAGGTTTGCCTGAGGCGTCCCAGCCCTGCCTTGGAAGCAAAAAAGTTTCACCTACCCCTCGCGCCTCAGACGGGAGTACCGTACAATTTCAGGTAGCTGGACCTTGCGCGGCTGGAGGCCCGGGAATCTGGGGAAGGAGCTGCCCTGTCACGTATCCGTACCTCCTCCTTCCCAAGGAGCGAGGACCAAGGCCAAGGTAAGGAAGGTACTTCACCTGACGTTCCGTGCTTCCTTCCTTCCCTTTCCAAGATTCCTCAGTCTGTATTCGTAAGATACCTACTCCGTAAGGAATACCTGCCTTAATTACGGGATTGCATCTTGTGTGTCTGTGCTTCATCTACCGTCTTTTCCTCCTTCCGTCGCCTCGTCCGTCTTCTCTGACTGGGGACCCGACCTGGCCGTTCGCTGCACACTGCCATCCTTTCCCGCCTTTTCCACCACCTGTTTCTTTCCATCACGGGCTGCCCAATTTTTGCGCTCCCTGTCTCCCATTCTCTCCAGTCACTCACCACCCGCGCCATTTCCCACGGGCCCAATGACATCCTAACGGTTGGCGCGCAAGAATTCTCAAGTGCTACTTACATTTGCTCCACAGGATAATTGCATATCCAATTGTACACCGAGCGCATGGTTCGATAGCAAGTGCCTTTACCAAAGAGGGGCAGTTCTCGCTGTCAACCTGCCGTCCTCCCGTCTCTTGACACTGCTCGCTTGTCCGCCGCTCGACGACAACGATAGCACCCACGGCTAGCCAAGGTCAATTCACCTGCTGCGCAATCCGGCCTTTCGTGGTCACCTCCCGCGATCTGTCCGATTCTCACGCGGGACGCCTTTCCTGCGCGCGCCTCCTCCTCAGCTCTATACCTAGCGCGATCCATCCAGACACTCAACGTAGCTACTGGGTGGCACTTTCCCTAGGCCATACCTGTCCGAAGGTTTCTGTTCTTTTCTCGGATCCATGACGACCAGCTCCCGCCTATGAACGGCCTCATTATGTCAATTCACAAACAAAGTCCTAAAAGTCGAGTTCGCCCTGTAGACTCGGCTCGAGCCTACAACCAGTCAACCTGAAGCGCTCAATTCCTGCCGATATGGAGGAGGCACCCGATAGCCAACAGCAGCCACAACCCGCTGCCGGCTCTGCTTCCTCCGCGGGGGCACCACCTGCAACCGCTTCCTCTTCAACCTCCGCTCCTCACAATGCGCCTACGCCGTCAAGCAGCTCCAGTGCTGCTAACCTGCAAAAGAGGAAGAGGGGCCTAGGAGTGGTCACGCCCAATGCCTGTACCGAGTGTCGCAAAAAGCGAGCAAAAGTAAGCCAGCAGCAGATGGTACCCCCGTGCCCGCCTACGCTTTTCTTTGCGCTGACAGTTTTTCGAATAGTGCGACGGGCAAAGACCTTGCGGTCGGTGCAAGGGTCAGAAGGACGTAGAATGTGTCTACGAGGTCCCAGTCCGCCAATCCAAGGAGAATCTCCGAACCGAGCTCGAGAATTTGCGCCAACGCCAGAAAAGTAGCGATCAGGTCATAGCCGCCCTCGTTCGCCCCGATATGTGGGAGGATGTGTTGCAACGACTGCGCAATGGGCAATCGCTTGAATCAGTCTCGGACTGGATAGGCGGTGCTGGTGCTGGTGGTGCAAGGACTTCCTTTGCACGCCCAAACGAACAGTCCAGCGATGCGAGCGCAGGCCCAGGGACTCGGCCAGGTGGATATCCGGCGCCCATCAGAACCAGGAACCTAGGAGATCATGGCTCCGTAGCCATGAGTCCGATCACTGGGCAGTCTGGCTTGCGCCAGGAGATTGATCCGAACAGTCCTTGGCACCCTTCATCACACAGCCAGAGCACCCGAAGTAACTCTCACCCCGACGCAATGAACTGGAGCGCAGACACCAATAGGCCGCCACAGGGACTGTTCGACACCTGGGCTGAGTCGGCGAGTAACACGGAAGCCTCCGAAGGCGGCTCGAAGCATCAGGGCGCCGACCAGGTGCTAGCCCCGCTAGAATTGCCTGACATGAAGCTGCCCCCCGAAGAATGGACAAACATTACGGAAGATGGTTCGTTGGTCCAACATCTGCTAGCCCTGTACTTCTGTTGGGAGTACCCAACCTTTGCGTCTCTGAGTAAGGAGCATTTCCTCAGAGATTTCCAGAATGGCGTCGAACGCTATTGCTCCCCGATACTCGTCAACGCGCTCTTGGCTCTCGGGTGCCGTTTCTCCAGTAAGCCGAGTACTAGAGCGAATCCCAACGACCCGTACACCTCTGGCGATCACTTTTTCAAAGAAGCACAAAGTCTATTCTACAAGGAGAAAAACCACCACAATCTCACCACCATTCAAGCCCTGGGTATCATGTCTATTCGAGAAGCCAGCTGTGGCAGAGACTCGGAAAGTTGGTACTATGCCGGGCAAAGCATTCGTCTTGCTATCGAGATGGGACTTCATCAGCTCGAGGAAGATGGAGACGATGACGAGTTTGCGGTTCAGGCTGCAACTTTCTGGGGCGCATTCGCTCTCGACCAGTGAGTTTCTTGTATCGAAGTCTGGCATCGTGTCTTGCAACCTGACTGTCTCCCAGTGCGTGGTCTTTAGCGACCGGCTCACTTCCGCAATGTTCCTGCTTTCCTCATCTGCCGCCAAAGCCTGCCATAATAGATGACATAGAAGCCTCTCTTTGGATCCCTTACACTGACGATGGTAAGTCTTTGATAAACTTAGGCGAGGCTTCAGGCTCTCCAAGCGACAGAGGCTCAGGTTCATCGATAGGCGCACCATTGCAGCGGTCCGCCGAGCAGCCATCCAACGTTCGATCTGTTTATAAGTGCTTTTGTGAATTGAGCGAGCTCGTGCACCAAAGCCTCTACGTTTTGCACTCCCCGGGGCGCCCGCTGACCAGCCGTGACCTTCTCGGCATTTATACCCAGTATCTCAACTGGTATGACAAGATACCAGAGGTTCTGAGGCTGGGGCACAACTTCACACCAGCGGTCCTGTTCGCGCAGTAAGTTTTCTCAAAAGAGATACATGGCTGCAACACGTACTAACCGGATATCGCCACAGCATGTACTATCATTTTGCGATCCTACTTCTGTTTCGTCCCCTCATCAAGCTTAAGATCATTGGCTCTAAGCTATTACCCCGAGACGTATGTGGGCAGGCGGCAGATGCCATCCAAGGTCTATTGCGATCTTACTCGCAATTGTACACTCTACGGCGGACGCCATCATTTGTCCCGTACTTTGTACTCACATCAGCCATCATGCATCTAGCCATCGGTGCCACAACCTCTTCTTCACTGCCATTGCAGAAGGCCTTTGAAGGGCCAGGCCAAAACACGGATCCGAATGATCCACCCTCATACCCGCCTCGCGTTGTAGAAGCTATCCAGCAAGGTATTCGGGATCTGGAGGAGATGGCACCGTGCCACCATTTTGCCGAACAGGCGCTGAACATACTACGGTACCTTGCCAAGAAGTGGAACATGGACGTCGATATGGGCGGCGAAGTAGCCTCAGATGCCGAGTACGCACATCTTGTCAGGCCGTACACGAGCAGTCTCAACTTCTTTGCGCCCAACGTCATTGAAGATGACTTCATATGCGCTTGGGGAGGCAGCGCCGATGCAGCTGACGTACCGAACCCGGCGGTAGCCATGGGCCTTAAATCCACGGAGCCAGGACAAGCATCAGTTGAGCGGGCGGCCAAGGTGATGGAGAACCCTTTGTTTTGGCCGTTCCCGATGCAGGGACGGCCGATGCTCCCTACTGGAGTTGAGCTCGCAGATGCTGGATTCGAGAGAATCTGATGTGGTCGAATAGAGGACTCGAACAATGCACCAAAACGAGATGCAGTCATATCGAATCCATTCAACTATGAGATGGACCTCTACGTATGAGTGGACTTGGGTCGGGGCCTCGTTCTGCCCGCACAGGAGTTTGGCCTCGGGCAAGGCATTTTGTTTTTGTGATACCCTACTATTTCTATTGGAGACGAAGACGACATGTGCTTCAGAGCAGGCTGTCTCGGGCCCCTTCCATGTACTCGTTGCAGCTATGTTGACGGGCTGTCAGTGTGGCACAACAGTGCCAGGTCGCGGTACTGCGAGGATCTAGAACGCAAATACTAATCGCTTTGTGCAAATATGAAGATATTTCCAGGGGGCCAAGGCCTGTTAGAGTGTAGTGCGAGCGAGGTTCGTTGTTGGTATCGTCGTGAGGGTCACTTGAGGTCCGTAGGGATATGTCAATCTGAGTATAAGTACCTAGAGGCAAGTACGGTAAGGAAGGGCATGCAAGTAGACGGGCTATGATGCGGCAGGGATTGCCCTTACCGAGGCATGCAACGCAATTTCATTGGCCCAATGCATTGGACAGGCGGGTGATGATGCACTTTCCTATCTCATGCCAGAGACCCAGCGTACTTGCCTGAGGTGGCAGGGCCGAGAGGTGGCAGGCGACGCCGCGACCTCGGCTTACGGTCGGTCGCCCGCGGGCTCAGGTCAGATCAGCAGGAGCACAGGAGCAACAGGCGCACTCCGCGTCAGTCGCGATGAGCGTGCCCACCGAGGTCCCTGCAACTTTCCGTCATTAAACCATCCACCATCCCGTCTGCACCTACAGATACACCTGCACCACCTCGACTCTGGCGTTTGTGAGATAGCTTACCTACGTTAATACCTAATTCGCACTTCCGCCAACCACTTTCACTTCCTTCACAAATCCCAACGTCGCTGCGTTGTCATTTACAACCGCTTCATCTTTGACATTTTGTCCTCTTCTTCTTCTTCTTCATTCTCTTCGTGCTGACATCACCGCCGCGCGCTTTCTCTCTGTGCTCGTTCAATCCCACCTCTTGTTCGACTATTCGTTGCGCAACCTTCGCAAACCTTCGCCACGCCCTAATGATTTGAATCCTCCACCATGTCGACTTCCGCCGATATCCCCAACAAGACGCGGCTATCGCATCAGCCGTCCAAAATCCGCGCCGTTCTTTCATTACCGCCGCAATGGCTTCACATGTACGAAGAGTTCATCACCAAGAACTCTAGTCAGGTCTCTCAAATAGAGTCGGCTTTACGGTCCCTCACGTACATCATTCCTGGTAAGGCACTTCTCCATACAAGAACTGTGTTCGCTATCGCACGTCTAATACTGGCTCTCAAAGGTCGATTCCGCGACGCCGAGATTGCTTCCGAAACTGTCCACTCGAGTGTGCAGCTCCTCTCTCTATATCATGATACCCTTCTTATGCGCGCCCTGTCGCGCATCCCAATGGCGCGATTGCCATCCCCTCATGCCCGATATACGAAATACTGGACTCAGCGCAGTCCCATGTACCGGCGCATTGCCATGTTACTGCAGATGGTCACATACACACAGCTACTATGCGAGATGGCTGCCAAGAGACGTGGCGGCGAGCGCAGTCGATGGCGCGTCGTCGTGCTCTTGGAGGCTATCAAGGCCGTCTGCCGCCTGCTACTATTGCGCGTGACGCGCTCTCGACCTCTTGTGTCGCCCGTCCTCCCGGAACGTGAGCCTATCCCTGAAGAAACCGAGGCCGAAAGTGATGCCGCTTTGAAGGATATTCTGGAAGAGCCGACCAATGGGCACGCACCGGAAGACAGCGGTGAGGCCCAGAAGCCTCATGAGAAGGACTGGACGATGCCCAGAACGGGCATGAGCCTTCCCTCGCTGCCCAATGCTGGTGATATCAGCGGCTATCTCCTGGGCAAGGTATTGACGGCAGAGGATATCAAACCAGCTGCAAAGCTGCTAAATCAGCTACAGGGCAGTGCACAGGCAGCAGAGGTGTTACACATCCTCGCCCCGTTGGTGTATGCCATTGCTTTGTCGAAAAGCAAGAATAAGAAGTCATGGACACCGTGGCTGGTCGGTCTGAGCGTCGAATACGCAGCACGGCAACTCAGAGACCGGGGCTTCAGGACAACGCCCCTCGAACGCGACGAATGGAGCAAGAGAGGCTGGGCCATGGGTTGGTGGACCATGCGCGGAGCATTCTACGAGAACATCATGAAGGGTGTTGTCGGCGGCGTGCGATCCAGAGTACCCAACCTGGTCGGTGGCATTCTGGAGGACTATGAGTATCTGTGGGAGAACTATTACTTCAGCACCAGTGCCTAGATGTAGGCTACTCGGCGACTGTTCTGCGCCGGTGTCAGTCGTAACGATTGATGTCGTCTACAAGTCAGCATCCGCCTAGCTTTTGCAGAGTATTCCCTGCATTTCTATGCAATTCAGGAGTTGATCATGGCGCCAAGAACCTCCCAGACCGCCTCAAGCCACCGTCTAGGTCCCTCATGCGGCCCAGCAAGGACAGCGAATCAGACTTGCGAAGGCTTTCTTTTTGCCGTCACCACGCAAAATGCCAGGTGTTTGTGCAACTCGAGCTCCACGCATATCCCCCAACGTAACACCGTGCGTCGAACCCGAGCATTTCAGTTTCTTTTGACGGACATCGTAGAGTGAGTGGAGACACGCTGAGAGCTTGACATGCGGCTCTTGCGGGAGGCCAGGAGCGGAGCCAAGCCAAATCGTCATCGACAAAACGTTTCCGATTCGAATGTGCAACGTGCGCAAAGGTACCCGGTTTCGTGCAAATCCTCCGAATTGCTACAACGTTGTCAAGAGGATCCATTGGTATCATTCAAGGGGACACTCGGGGAACACGCTCTGGGGCCAATTTGGCCAGGTTCAATATACGTGTGAGGCCGGAAGCAAGGAGGCTGCGACTCTGCGAGCCATGCTTCCTGAAATACCCAATTTGAGACACTAAAGCCATCCGCATAGCAAAGGAATGTAGTTCCAGTGCCACAGCAGTGGCGCAATGACGACTGTCGAGATATGTGCATCATCCGGGTGCTCAGCCGTTTGCTGGAGAAGTGAGGATTGCGACCCTGATTCTCCGTCTCTTGTCTCGCCAAGTTCGAACCGAGAGCGGCTATTTTCACGCGGTATTCCAGGGCTGGTAGTTCGTATGACACGCGAACCCGACTGCCGTACAAGGGGGTGAAGATGGTCAATGTTTGAACCCTAGACTATGGAACAGAGACCTAGATGATGGGTATCGGATGTCGGTAGGATCAGTATGACCAGCTAGCTGTTCAGCCACCTTTGGACCATCTTAGGCATCGGCAAAACGAACAAGTGTATCCCTTTTAATGCTCCCTTGTGTATCTGTATCCGTAGCCTGCAAGACCCTTGTCCATCCGAGCGCTGCTCCCGAGTCCAGCTCGACACCAGCTCGACCAGGTTCTCTGCCGTTCAGCTTCCCACATCCCTTTTCTCGCCCGTTGAGCGTTTTATGTTATTTGCAGAAAGAAAGAAAAAGCCAAAAACCCACCAACGCAGCACGCACGACACACCGCTGATCGTCGAAGAGAGCACATCCGACGGCGTACTTACTGTACCTAGGTATCCTATCTGCAGAGACGCAAGGAAAGGTACGGCGCCCCCCCCCCCCCCCATGTCTCTCTTCTTGGAGACCTGTGCGGCGTGCCCTGGCTGGCTGGGAAAGCGGGTGTCCGGCGCGTGGCTTGTCGATCGTGGTGGTGTCAGTTGTTGGTTGTGGTGGTCCGGAAGTTGATTCCGTGGGACCCGGGGACGCTGTATTATTGCTTTTTCGAGTGCTCCTACGGTTCGTTGTCGTCAAGGACTGCTGTGTAGGGTTTAGCTATGACTTAGGAATTGGAGCTGCGGATCACATTGGGCACTGGACATTTCGATTCGGCGCTAGCTAGTTAGGTGAAATGGGGGTGTGGTGGAAGATAAAATTCTTCACTTGGATCGGAATTTATTTTGTGAGGGTTGATATGTTTCGTGATGGCTGGAGATGGGGATGTACTAAGTAAAGTAGGTTGTCACGTCACGCTGAAGCGAGGCTAGGGATGGGGAATTTGGGATGGGTGGGAAAGTCGGGAGTCGGAATCGGATAGTGAGACTGAGACTTGGAGAGACTGGAGTACAATATCCGTAGGTAGGGAGAAATCGTTGGATCACACCATGATCGTGTTGTATCTCGGATCCCTCAGCCTGAATACGTTGATTATGATGGTGTTCTCGGTCTGAATAAGTACAGCTGTGCAACTAACTAGACTAGGTATGAATACCTGCCTGCCTGAGGTAGTCCACTCATCCATCCATCATCCATGCTGGCCAGCCATGGTCCGTCAGCATTTCTGTCAGGCTCCAGTCCGTCAGCACCAACGGAACGGGGCTGCTGCACGTCGGCAACTTTCTTTGGCTCCTCCCAAGCGCAATCGTCAGGCCCAGTCGATCGGGTCGTCATTCGTCACATTTTCCTTTCGGGGTTGACGAGAAGGGATTGCCAGGGGATGAGGTGGGAAATATCGGTAGCAGTCCAATAGTCAAGGTGTTTGGACGAGTGCCGGCGGTGGGATATGTCACTGGGCACAGGCCGTTAGGTTTAGTGTTAGAACGGGCGTTTTGCCCTGTCGTTCGAAATTGAGGAGAGCCAAATGTGGGATTTTGTGGTCGTTTATGATTGCAAGGCGTTTCTCTTTCTGGGTTCTTTTCGTATCAGTGATCAGTTGTGTGTTGGTGTTGGGTAGCAGAAGGCATGATGGTGCAGAGCCGAAACTGCAACTTGACGTATACACATTGAGCTCAGGCAAAGAGCTCAAGCATAGAGCTCAAGCAAAAGCTAAGCTCAGGCAGAGAGCTCGGGGCAAAGTAATCGCACAATCAACTACAATGCGCATGCTGCTATACATTTCAACACAACACGGCAGTCAAAAACCCGAGCCCACGAACCCACGGGAAGCGAGACCAAGGCAGCGGGTAAAAGGGCTTTAACAGGCCATGTCCACTAACCATTCCGAGGTTCTTGTCTTTGACGCGGTTTGCGAGATTTGTATTCATCGCGGATCCATATTCCAGCGGGAATGGGCCCGAAGGAGGTTGACTTGTTGATGAGGGGCAAATACTTTGGGAAAAAGCAAAAACAGACTCTCCACATCTAGGCCAAAACCTGCTAAACCGCTTCTTAGAGCGAGATGCAGCACCTCCTTTTACGCCACTCGACGCATCGCCTATTGGTCCGTCTTCCCCGGATCTTTGCCCATAGGTAGACGTCTCGGAGGCCTGTCCCTGGAGCTCCTCCTGTCGACTATCGACTTTTTGACAAGTCTTGCTTCGTCTATCGATCGGAGAGTTGTGGATTTTATCTTAGTGCCGCGGATTAGGGTCCCAGTTGCGGATAGGGCGTCATGTTTTTTCGACATCAACCACACAAAACTAAACAAACCACTGACAACTTATACGGGTACTGTGCAAATAAGTGCACGGGAATATAAGCAATCCCTGGGAAAGAGGGGTCTCCTCGTGCCGAACCAATCCCAACGTGAGGCAGGGGGGGCTTGCTGAGATGCTGCTGGTCATACTGAACGAGACACAAGTCTCAGAGGAATCTGCAACTCCTCTATCTTTTTCCTTCTGCATACGTCCGTACCGGGGGAGGCGTTTCTTCGTGGTCTCAACCGCAGATACAGATGCCTACTTGAGTACCTACGCAACTACTTTGGGTACGCATACACAAGTACTCTGCGTGGGTGTCTGCGCATGTGTAAGAGTGACGATTATTATGACACTGACAGCACATCGAAGCGGAGTCTGGACAGAAAAAAAAGCCAAGCCGCAGCAGCACGCAACGCGCGCAGCACATCAGCGCACACTGCAGATGCAGATTGTGGCAGCGGCATGACACCCACGACATACACGCGCGCAAACAGGGGTGTCGGGGATGTCTTGATGCTCATCCAGGTGCAAGGCAACAGATATGTACCCGCGATGATGTCTCTCTTGAGGGAAGCATGGAACCCAACCTGGGAGCCACGAGGTTGCGCCCAATGTGTATCCGTATTATGTATCCGTAGGTGGTGGCCGTGTTGGCCCAGGCCCTTTCCGCCTCGTCTGATGATGTTTGATGACCTGCAGCATACCTATCACAACGCAACCCGGCAGCATCCTGTCCTGCCTTCCCGTGCCGAGAGCGAGCCCTACCTATACCTATACATAGTAATATGTCTTCTGTATCCGTACTATGACATAGGAGTCCAGCCTCGGATCTTATCCTTTGGGTATCCGTACGGACACAACACTGGAGAATGAGATAGCACTGCAAAAGAAGGTTCACTCATATCGAATCGATCTCGGCCCTGGCCCAACCGCCCGCTGCTGCTCCCCTCCCCCCTCCTCTCCCGGATCACCCCCCTCCCCTTCCCAACCCCTGGCTGTTCACTTGATACTTGCCTTTGGTCCCCTGGCTCCTCTCCCTGACCCCGGCCACTTTGGACTTTTTGGGCTCCAGTTTGGCAGTCTTCCCAAGATTATCTACTGCACACGCTATCATTGTGTCGTACGTACGGATACGTACCCGTAGCCGGGTCTGGCTCTCCTGCGCATCCGCTACGCCTACGCGTCGGTCTGCAGAAATTGGGCATCTTCCGTCCGCTGGAACCCGCCCCAGGTTCACCAGTCACGTTGCAAGGCGCAGACGTACGTAGTATAGTGCGTGTGTATGTGTGCCTGGGTAGCGACAGGGCCGTCAAAGGACGCGTTGAGCGAACGATGACAAGGCGGAGAGGGAGATATACTTACTGAAAGGGTGATGGGGGCCACACAGAGACTTTGAGAGACAGAGTGTGTATGTACTGCGTACACTAGGTATCCATCCGTAACGCGCATTGCTTTTTCCTTCTCGCGATACTCTGAGACTAGGGCCAGCCACCCTGGGGGTAGTTTCTCGCCTTGCCCTTCTTTTTCTTTTTGATTCAGGTGAGCAACCAGCGAGAAAAAAACCGCTGGGTGACCGAGGGCTGGTACTGGTGGTACTGGGGAATTGCGATTGGGTTCATTGGGTGGTACCTTGATTCTTGAGGGATTCCCCCCCGATCCCCCGATGCCCAGCCCAGCGTCGGAAGTCGTCCAGCCCAGTGAACCAGAATATCGTGAGCGCAGGGGGGGTGTCATTCAATCAGAATCTCCTCCTACATCTCCCGTCCTTTCTTCACTGCATTCACTTCCGCTCAACTCTTTGTACAACTCTGTACACAACTTCCATCCACTCCCAGCACGCGTTGATTGTCTGAGATCTATCTCTCCGCTCCATCGTACATGACCCGACTCGCTTCCGCCCGTCCCTTCTCTTCGCCTCTCTCCGTACTTTGTGTTCCCTTTACCATCTGCAGTTACCCGTGGGCAAGCAGCAGGCCAGCATCAGCAGCATCAATCAAATCACTTTCACAGCTGAAGATCCCGTGAGAAGAGCAAGCTGTCAGATACGTAAACGCCGCAGGATAACAGGAAACCAGAGGAACCAGGAACCCAGGAAACGAAGCACAACCAGGCCAGACCAGACCAGACAATTTGGGGTCCTTTTCGTCCCCGGCTCTGCCGCCTTTTTTACTTCAAGCACCCTCCAGGAGCACAACATCTTTCCCCCCGCGTAACATGAGCCTGACAGTCTCCAATCGATTCGTCGGGCATCAGAATTCTCTCGGGGGAGGTGATTTCCATCCGTTTCCCTCGCCACATCATGGGTCTCTCATGTATAGCCCACAATGGCCACCAACACGCCCGGCTGCCGTTCAGGCCCAGCCACAAGAACGAGAGCCGCCTGGAGTTGCTGCTTCTTTGATACCATCGCACAACAGCCACGGCGGCGGCAGTGGTATTAGCAGTAGCAGCCGCCAAGGCACGGGACCTCCCCGCTTTGGTAAAGCACCGGATGTCACTGGTGGTCCGGCCTCTGCGGCCATCACGCGAGGAGGTGCAGCAAGCGCCGGCCCCGGCGGCGGCAACGGCAGCGGGAATATTCACAGCAGCCAAGGCGGTACCAACGACGGCACATATCCCGCACCAGCGGCTCAACAGCCGTCTGCTCCGGTTCCGCCTGCCGGGATCATCAACCCGTTCGACCTCTCTGCCGCCGAGCCCTCGCAGCCGCGTCACGTTCTCGTTCGCGTAGACGGTGACACAGGGTTTTATCTCGGCAACGCCGTGGGCCGTCCGGCGCCACAGGAGTTTTCTCTGCCGACGGAGGTGGACGGATCGCGGTCCGTGGCCAACGGGGACCAGATCCAGACCGGATGGAGTATCGACTACTACGGCCTCTCGGGCAGCCGCCACGAGTACGGTAACGGCATTGGGTGGCGGTGTCAGGAATCAGAGGCCGTGGCGGACGCGCAGGGGAACTTTGGGTGGCCGAGGAAGTACGTGTGTTCCATGTGTTGTCTGCGATGGAACGCCATGCCTCTGCCCGCCAAGGTGATTCGGGGCGATGTCAGTCAAAAGGACCGGATTGAACTAAGGATAGTACGTGCCGCCTTAACATATTCGGCCCCTATTCACATAATGTCCGTGTGAGAGTCACACACGCTTACAAGACGCGCAGCCAAATCCGGCAGATGCACGGAGGGATCCCGGATTCTCTCGGCCGGGATGCTCAGAGGTACGTTATATGATGCGCGCCGTTTTGGGTTTAAGACGAACCCGTCTTTTAAGGTGAACTTTATGAGTTGACAGTACCGGGGACCCCCAGTTACACTACTACCTCGATCATGAAGGACCTGGAAACGAGCCGTGCGTCCGGGGCCTTTGTCAAAAGTGCCGGCCGGTGTCTTTCTTGCCGGACTCGCAGCCGACGACCCACTGTTGTCCGCCCCCGGTGGCCGAGCCGGGCTACCTCAAGGAGATTTATCGGTGCATCATGGACAACTGCCCGTTCCTCACGGACACCCGGCGAGAGATGAAGGTATGAGGACAGCCGATGACGCCCACTAACGCGCACCATCTTTGAACCCAAAGGAAAAAGGTCTAACAAACTATCAGGCCCATCTCCATTCTCCAAGAAAGAACGGACACAAATCCTACTTGACATCCCTGGCAGCTCGCATCGAGCACGGCCAACCCCTCAGCGCAATCGACAAGGAAATCGCCTCCCGCCTGATGCTCATGTTCAACGACCGCGACGCCCGTGGGCAGAAATCCATCTCTCAGCCCATCAACACCGTCCTCGGGCCTGAGGACGTCAGCAGCCCGGCCATCCTGCGCGAGCACACGCAGTGGATGTCGTATCTAGGCCTTCACACGCCCGAGCTGCACCGACGGGACTTCTGGGATCCGCGGACAGGCGGGTGGTATTACCGCGAGTACAACATGGACGACGACTTTGAGGATGCGTGCGAGAATGTGAGGATTATCTCACATGCTACGGGAAGGCCGGTGAAGCCGTCAGATTTCCTATGGCGTTGAGATGGGATTTCGCTTCATCGGCTTATGGAGAAAATCACCATTGTACCTCTATTTGAAAACGGTTGTTGGCTCAAACAACATGCACGACTTGAGTAGGGGACGAGAAGGACAGAGGAGGGGCGTATCACGACTTGATGCTTTGTAATGACCGACAACAGACAACAGAAAACAGACGACAGTATCTTCAACCCAGCAAGGGTTTCGCAACTTGCTCTTTAGACGATGGAACGGACGGAGCATACCCAAGGCTGTTAGGCCGCGACGAAAGGGTGCATTTTACCATGGACTTCAGGGGCGTATCATCATCTTCTTCTTCTTTACATTACCGGCTTCATGAAAGGGGAAAAGGGGATTTCTTTATTGAAATTATGAGGTGTTCGGAAAGAGCTACTAGGCTCTCTATCTTTTTCTCTTGGCTCTCACGGCGAGAGAGAGGGGGCTCCGGCGTTTTGAAGTATTCTGCGGAGGCATCTTTTTCGATGGGGAGACTTTTGGAAATACCCTTCATGAGCATTAGGACGGAGCGGGGTTTCGATGGGAGGTACCAACAGGAAGGTCTCTTCCTTGGGGGAAGGAGAACTTTGTACTTTAGGAGAGGTCAGAGGCTTGATTTGCCTTGGCTGTCGGCATGGCCCGGTTTGCACTATGGAATGATTCGGTCGAATTGAGAAAGGACTCAGTAGACGAGGGAGCCTTGTGATAGAGAGGTAGAAAATCAGTGATATGATTCAGGTATCGGGATTTCTCTTTGGGAAAGGAGTCAGAACTGACTGACTACTGCCCCTGCTTGTTCCTCCAAGACCGTCCGCTTCTACACTTCGCGAGGTTGATATCTCGGCATACGATGCGGCTGACCGGAATGGTGACATGTAAGCTGCATAGAATGCCCAATCAAAACATCGCAGGCTTCACCAATCTCAACCTCAATCATGTTGCGTAAAAGCAGAGGCGATGGTCATATCAACTTAACGACATCACACAACATCTGAGGGAAGCTCCACTGACTGCACACCAACACCCACTATATATTGAAGTTGCGGCTTTGATCAATTTTGCAAGTACGTAGAGGGGTGCGTTAACTAAGGTGAGCTTGGGCCTCTTAAAGCATCTAGGAAAACAAATTCAATGGCTAAACCGCCAAAGTTTTCGACACGAACGTGCGCACCAAGCAGCATCTTCAACGTCTTGCTACTTACTATCTTGGATGAAGTGCTGATATGGACCAGCCCCAAGATACTACCGAGGTGGGCGAGTCGATACTGTGCTCACTTCCCCTATCATTACCGACCCGTCACACACGCTTTCTGGGCGCATCTCATCTATTTGCAATCCCCCCCCATTTCTGGACCCTTTCCGGTGTCGTCGGGGCCTTGTTTCTTTATCACCTTCATGAATTACTGGTTGAAGCTGCTGACCTTGCATCAGATCCAGTCCGTATCCCCCCGATTCGCGCGATTCCGAATATGGATCTCGAGTCCCAGGCGGCCAGGATGCCGGATCCTCGAAAACCTGACTATTCTGTCCCGTTGAATCCGATCTGCTTTTCTGTCTACGCTGTCCTTTCTGTGCATGCTGTCGTGTATCGTGGTGTTGGGTTGGAGGCGGTTGGAATCCCTGATCCGGGCGACGCGGAACACTTTGGTTCCTTGGAACCGGTTCATACTCCTCTTCGGGGTACGATTGTGAATGGCGATGATCATTCGGGGGAGTCTGAGAGTTCTGGCTCCCTAGAGACTCTACGCGGCCCCTTCTGTATGGGGCATATACATTCGAATGTCCTTGATTCGGAAAATTCTGACTATTCCGGGCCCATACGTAGCCTGTCATTGGTGGGGCATCATCTCGCATCGTGCTCATCGGGATACCAGGCATATGGTGTGGGAGTCCAGGCATATGGTGTGGGAGTCCAGGCATATGGTGTGGGAGTCCAGGCATATGGTGTGGGAGTCCAGGCATATGGTGTGGGAGTCCAGGCATATGGTGTGGGAATTCAGGCGTATCGTGTGAGACAAACCATTGGTTCAGTCTAGTATCCCAAGTTGGTTCTCTTCTCAATGCATAGGGGTGTATCTCTCGATACTCTTGTAAGCCGGCTGCCGACATTGGCTGATCCTTCATGTGTGTTCTCGTGGCGATTCGAGCCCGGATTCTGGATTGGACCTTTGGTAACATGTCCTCCGGGACACCCTCGTCATTCAGTATCACCGGATTCGATGCATGTTCACGTACTCGCTGCTCGAGTTCTTCGGGGCTTAAATGGTCTGGGTGCTCGCAACCTGAAGCTCGTCCATTGCAGTGCGGCCGTCCGTTGTATGTTGAACTCGGGTCTCCCAAATGAGATTTGTGAGGGCAGTTTTTTTTGTTGCAGTGGTGGTAGTCAGGGTACTTGGTAGAGCTAGTTTCACCTCGAAGTGGTGAATTCATCCTTATGATACTATATTATGCCGCTGACGATGAAGATGCTTCTTGCAAACGATTGCAGTTCTGACGATTCCTGTCCAGTTCTCAACAAGATTATTCATATCACCCTCAACATACCACTTTGTAATAACTTTATATAGATGTCTATTCAAGTCCATGCATCAAAGACACTTGTTCACTCTTTAGTATTTGAACAACATGAGGGGTACTTGAGAGCATAAAAATCGGCCTCGACTCCTGTTCAGGTAAAGCCTTTTTGGCCGAATGCTTTGCCGGCTATGATGTCTTGGCCGCCTGAATTCAGGTGTGTTTTGTGTGGACCTCAGTCCTTTGTCCATACTGATTCTCGTTCGTGGCCTTTGGGGTTGCGAGTCACTGCGCCGGGGGTCCCTGGACCCGAGTTCAAAGGACGCTATAGAGGAACCAAATCACTGGATCTCAAGATCCCCAATAGACGGCTGCAAAATTCAGGCGGATATCCTACTTCTGCTCAGATGATTCCACATATAGCACCATGTTCCATATTCAACGATGCAGCAGTGACTCAAGGGTAAGCAAGTAGTGAAAAGTCTGTGAATGGACATTCAAACATGGCGCTATCCTTAGCTTTCTCGAGTCTACAAGGGCCGAGCCTTTTTTCGAAGAGCAGAAGCCTGTGATACATCACGCTCAGTCGATGGAATATCAAGCCTTGAGATCAAGTTTGAGGACTTGGCCTTTAATATAGTGGTGCGGCTCCTAAGCAAAGCGAGGCGTATAACGAGTAATCGCTTGTAGACAGTGTCACTCCTAGCTTCAGTAGAACCCCTTGAGATGCGCTACGAACGGTGGCTCTTGAACCAGCTCAAGATAAATCCCGATGTAGACAGAAAATTTCATAGATGTTCTCGGAGTGATGCTCGACATCCGAGAGGTCGTCGTGGATTCGAGGGCCCTGTCGCTGTCATGAGTTTCACCCCTCGTTCAGAAGTTGAGTATCAGGAGTCGTTCTGCTGTTCCTGTTTACACGTCTCTGACAAGCCTTCGCCACGGATAACTATCTCCATACTTGTCGAGACAGGCTCAGCAGCCAATGACCAGGGCAGTCCGATAGTACTGTCAGCATCGAAAGAGCTTGCACTACGCGTTAATGTGTTGTGAATTGCTATATAGATGCTATATGAAGCAACGGACCCACCTCGCCGCGAATTCGTAGACTTCTAGGAGGTATAATTCGTGTTTGGACAGCCCTCGAATTGCTCTTGAACATGACTCAAGGCTTCCTTCTGTCAAGGCGGAAGCTCTGGCAAACACTGTTTTCCCTCTAAGCGACAGGCTCCCGCTGATAATTGTCAATGGCTTCATCGGGTGAAGTCGAGCGGCTTGACCCTGAACCGCGTCGCCTGGGAGCCGTCGGCCTGGTAACAGAGAAGGCCCATTCCGAAAGGCGTGACCCTCGAGCGCCTCTGCATTGTTCTTGGGAAATTCTCCCCATCTCTCCTTGAAAACGCCTTTCTCTTCCTAAATCCATTGCTATTTCCTGGCCTCCACCACCTTTTTCAGAACTTAGCACCTGCTTTTGTTCGGAATGCCTTTCTTCCCTAGTTTGAGGCGCGCCAAAACTCGCCTGCTGCCGCCATCCTTCTGCTGTGTCCAACCTAGTCCGGCTGATGTCTCGGTGACTCCAAAGAGGTCCCTTCTCGCTGCTCATGGCGCGATCTCGAGGGTCATCGTGCTCAAAGCCCCTCGATTTCCTTGGGTAGTTTCGAGAACTCTGACCAGACCGCTCCGGCGGGTTTCTCAGTCTATTCTGGGCCCAGTCGTTGGTGTATTGGAAGTCGCCTATGGCAGATATAGTGCCCCTGTCATCGTCCAGGGAGTCGTTCTCCCTTTCATCAAAATATACTGCGTCCTCGTATATGTTACTTGCAAATTGATCTGGGGGTGGCCTTTCAAATAGTAGAGGTTCTTGGGCTGACTCTGTGCGAAAACTTGGCCCATGAGGTTGGAAGATTGCCTTAGGTCCCTGGCTTTGGTAATAATCTTGAGGATGCCCAGGTGATACGTTGGGTATAGTGTAGTCAGGCGGGACCACGTAGCGGGGGTCAGTCTGGGTATGAAGAATATGGAGACTCATAGGATGTGCCTGAGAGTCGAAGTGCGACGTATTCATCGGAGGTCCCTGGAGCTGAGACGACAGACGGTCCTTAAGAGGTGTGAATGAATTCTGTAGGCGATGGCTCTGAGGCATTGTGGTGTGTGACGGAGCACGGCCATCGTTTTGAGGAAACGAGTGTGGAAAACTCATCCTCGGAAATCTTTGAGTCACTCTCGATGAAGATATTTCTTGAACGAGCTAGAGACTGGCGACGGTCCTTGAGAAGATCATGGCAAGACTGACCGTTGTATTTTCGAGAAGACACATTCCAGCCACGCTACAGGACATCCACGGTAGATGGGTCTGATTTAAGAGGTGAGGGGCGGGCCGCTTCACCTTTGCTCATTGACACCGCGAGAAGTGCGTAAAACTGGGCGGACTGTGAGACCCGGCCGCTGTTCAGGGACAACATCTTTAGTCAGTAGTATTTGAAGAGGCATGTTTCATTGGTGAGTAAGCTTGAAACGAAGGGGTACTTCTGGGCGGTCCTGAGTTCTTTGTTCAATTTGGCTCCTGTTCGTCTTCCCTTGAATCGGGGGTCACCGGACCCAATGTCAAATGACACCGTGTTTTTGTGGGCCCATCTGCCGTCCGGCCGGTAGCTCGCTGACGGGGTTGCCCGTTGGCACTAAAACCGAGGGGAATCTTCCTCCTATCATTATGAGTGCAGAGGTCACTGATGAGGAGACAGACAATACCAAAACATAGCTTATCCAAGTGCTATTTCCTGGCATGCTTACATAGAGTGAAATGAGTTAGTAGCTACCTAAATACCTTGAAGATTACACACTGACGAGCCAAGTCCTGTGCGCTGTGAGCGGCTATCTATGATTTCGGCGCTAGGACAAATCCTTCCCGGTGGATTACCTGAGCTGGTGTTCATCTGGAGAGTAATCGCACGGCTGGTCAAATGGCGTGGCGGCATCCCATGGCTCGGGCCCAAGACCGAATTCGAGATGGTTGCTGACAGTGAGACTTATGTGAGCTTCTTTCTCGACATTGGAGAGCTATGGCAATTGAGCTGCACTGGACTAGTGGCATGTGATGCTGAGAAGAACCCGTTGGGAGTACCTAGCGCGGCCAAGATGAAATGCAGGTCGAGGCTTGATATTGATCGAACCTACGGCAATCTCAGGATTACAGTTGGTCGCAGTCGATTGGCTTACCCAGAACACAACGACAGCCACACCGACGGCCGGCGGCACAATCGGGTCGGCTGCCGGATTGGTTGACAAGGTCTTCTGCATGGCTGCCGAAGAAGCTAGAGGTAACGTCGCACGAATGACGAAGTCCATGTCCATTTCCGAATTCTTGCGGAGAAAAGGAAGTATGGCTACACGATGATGAGGGGATGGGCATCATTGGCGATTGATTACCTACCTTGAGGTACCCCGAAAGCCTCGGCCCAGCGGCATTGGGGACCTCAACAACCCACCTCCACTGACCTCCAAGTTGGAACTTCCCAACCTTGAGAGGTTGACGGATATTTTAGTAGGGGAAGGGACCTTGGTAAAGCCCCTAAGGTAAGTACCTAGGTCCTAGCTCCGTTAGCCGAATCCCCAGAAAGTGCCTAGGCACTTGCCCAGATAGGAAATAGTACATCTGACCTGCCGCTTATCGATAACGAACCTTCCGGAGATACGACGCGGGGGTCGCGCGCGCATTTTGTCGCTGAAGGGGGAAGAAAAGGAGGGGGGTAACTTGAGGTACTAATAAATTGTGAGGTATCACTTGCCTTGCAGCTTTATCGGCCCAGGGTCCTAGTCACGTTCAACTGAAATTCGTCGAGTGCGTTCCACAATCCCAAAGCCCTCGACAAACACTCCTCTCTCTGCCCTCCGCCGAGCTTCTCTTCCCCCTCCTTCAACTCCGAAGCGAACTGACGCCCAGCGCAAGGCGAACCCTGCGCCGACACCAGTCCAGCACCGAATAACCGTAACACCGTCCGACGCAACCCCAGCCCGTCCTCCGTGCTCCTCGCGAACGGCTACGAACATAGCTCTTGGACCCTCCCCAAGTTCATGACTTGCGCCGTCCCAAGCCACCCGACCTCTCTCCTTCCGTCTGGCCCTCCGCGCGCCGGACGACCACACGCACTTCCAAATAAAGACCGAGCATGTGCCCCGCGCCTGATCATGGAGGCTCTGCCATAGATGATTCCCGACCCGAAGACAACGACAACACTCTCAACAACACCATCGACAGCGAACACAACCCCTCCGAGCCTGTAGTCTTGGCCGGCGCCGACATCCGCACCAGAGCCCGGACAATGACGAGCACCGAGGAAATCGACAACACCATAATCCGGCCGGGCTCCGTCCGCATCAATGTAAAGGGCGCCTTCATCGTCGATCCGGACTCGAGTTCTCCGAGGAGCAATGGCCGAGGTTCCCCGACCCACCACGAGACGAGCGATATTCGCCTGCCCAACCACCATGCCGTCGTGAGCCATATCGCCGTTGACGTATGCGACTCCCTCCTGCCCTTACCTGCTTTCCCTTCTTGTCTAGTTGCTAATCCCCTTGTTTGCGCAGATTGGCGGCTCCTTGATCAAGCTCGTCTACTTTACGCGCGAGGCGCACTCCACCGAGCCCGGCGGTCGTCTCAACTTTCTCAATTTCGAGACCGATCGCATCGACGACTGCATTGAGTTCATGCGCCACCTTAAGGATAAGCAGCAGACCCTCAATGGCTCTCAACCGAACGAATTGAGCGTTATGGCGACGGGAGGCGGCGCTTTCAAGTTCTACGATAAGATGCGGGATGTCCTGGGCGTAGATGTGTTGCGCGAGGAAGAGATGGAATGTTTGATAATTGGTAAGTTCTCGCAAACCCCTCGGCGCATGCTCAAGGGTTGCTAACTTACCTCCAAGGCCTCGACTTCTTCATTACCGAGATACCCCGCGAAGTCTTCACGTACAGCGAAACCGACCCTATGCACTTTGTCTCACCTTCAGAAAACATTTACCCCTACCTCCTCGTCAACATAGGTTCTGGCGTCTCGATGCTAAAGGTCTCCGGACCCCGCCAATACCAACGTGTAGGCGGAACCTCGCTCGGCGGTGGTACGCTTTGGGGCCTGCTCTCCCTCCTGACGGGCGCTCGCACTTTTGATGAGATGCTCGACCTGTCAGAGCGGGGGGATAATGCCAAAGTCGACATGCTTGTCGGCGACATCTACGGGGGAGACTACGGCAAAATTGGCCTCAAGAGCACCACAATTGCATCGTCGTTTGGCAAGGTCTTCCGCATGAAGCGCACAGCCGAGAATGAAGCGGAAGACCACGGTGGACTGCACAATGGCGATAACAAGAACACATCTCCGCCACCGGAAGCCTCAGCTGAAGATGGCCCTCAGGGAGCAGCAGAGCACTCCTCAGAAGAGCCCTTCTCTGGGGCAGATGTCTCGCGTTCGCTGCTATATGCGATATCCAACAACATTGGCCAGATCGCCTTCCTCCAATCTCAAATCCACAACCTGGATCACATCTACTTTGGAGGATCCTTCATTCGCGGGCATAGGCAAACGATCAATACCCTCAGCTACGCCATCAAGTTCTGGTCTCAAGGCAAGAAGCAGGCCTACTTCCTCCGTCACGAGGGCTACCTGGGCTCCGTCGGTGCCTTCCTCAAGCGCCAACCTCGCAACTGGGGCCGTCGTGGTTCTCTTGAACAAGCAGAGCCCATGGAGAAGCGCATCCAGAATCGCAGGATACACGACGTTGAGATGCAAAGCCTCGTCGACGACTACGCTTCCGACTCTGGACGCGAATCAGGACGCGACTAGCCAGTAAGCAAAGAAAGAAAGGAAAAACAGCATTACATTCATAAAAAGGAGCGAAGGTAGACGAAGTTGAATATCCCTGTTTTCGGGCGTTGTGCGGGCAGGCGGCGCGGTATTTCTTGGCATTTACGACGCTTGATAGCAGAGCATATGCGAATTTAGTGGGGGAGGCGAGATTGAAAGACGTCACGCCAACTTGGTGACCACTTAATCGGCAAATACCATTATATTTTTTACTAAATACTTACCAGTTTAATGTTATCAGTCATAGCTCGGCTGGCCTGTCGAGACGGATCGGCCCTGGATTGTCAGCAAACATTACAAACATCATAACATTTCAAACAAAGGATTACCTTCTTAGCCCTTCTTCGTGTGAAAGGTGTCAAGTAAGCAGCGAGAGTTTTTCTGGACTATTCTGTCAATCTTGGAGGCTCCATGTAACCGAGGGCAGTGTTCCAGTACATGTTTGTGGATCTATGGTCACCTGGCTCAGTGGTATGTCAGTCCAGGTCACCAATCTTTTGACTTATGATCATGGGCTTTCTTCCTGACCTCAAAGCTCCTTTCGAAGGCTCTCGAATATTGCCATGTCATCATTTAGCTAACGCTTGCTGCAATAAGTCTTCAAACTGATCGACATACCCAGGTCTCTTAGTATTTCCTCTGAAGTTGAGGTTGTCGTTACATCAGATACGTCATGCTATCCTTCGTCCTCCACATCATACATATAGCGTCATATCCGTCATCCCGTCCTCCGCACCGCCGGATTACCTTTGCGCACATGGACCCCGGACGAAGCGGACGATCACATGTACTCCGGACTCAACGGATGCGGTCCATAAATTCTTGGCACCTCGGAGGAGGGGACGTGGCCGGGGTGCGCATTGAAACGTGTATGGGCCGTGGAAGACTCGGGAATCGTCCCCGGTAACTTTAAACGTTATGCGTGTTTTTCTCTAGATCGGAAGACTAACCCTACTGTACGCTCCACTGCTCGTAGTCACTTCCGGAAACCGCTAGTGATGCTTTCTTTACAGGTGATTACTTAACTGAGTAGAGGTCAGGGGTTGTAAAGACGACGTATGGTCTGATCTGCGTTATTCGAGTTTGGGATTGAGTAGCTGAATATCATGGATTCTTGGTGATTGCTGATGTAATGGTTCATGATGAGAAGGTCAGTCAAAACAAGAATCACTACTCTACTGCAACTTTTCGGAATAGAGTACCTATAGAGTCTACAACACCGATTCGTAGCCGCGGATCTATGCTATCATAGCCATCACGACTAACACTACATCGGCGCCGGTCC